ATTGTGACAGGGGCAAGACTGTGAGACTTGGCGATGGTATTTGGAGGTCTGTATCCAGCAGTGGATAAATGATGATGATTACGGGATATATTTATATTTCACCAACGTTTCATTCAGACAATGGTCAATAGACCCATTACCACAAACGCGGTCTGCTATATGAATATTTATCTTCTAGGCAGGACGTGATAATGATTTAAGGTAGCAATCCCTACGTAAATTCTATGTATATTTCAACTCCGTGTGTAATTATATTTCGCAATACATCGCAGGATCGTGAGAGACGGTGGCATCTTGCGGAGGGCCTTGATCCAGCAGCGGACTGACCATGGTTGCTGCCTCCAACTGCTGCTGCTGCTGCGCATCGTTGACGACGAACATTTTAACCGCCCACTTAACACAATAAGACAGAACATCTTTGTTGCCACTTGTTTATTTTATTGGCCTCTCGGACTGCTTACATTTCATATTTACGTAATTGTCTCCACGGACTGCGGATAAGCGATGGCTTGCACTTCCCCGTGCCCTGTACCCGGCTAAAGCCAAACAACCTCTAGCTAATGTCGCACGACCTTTCTCCGTTTGATTTGTGCTTCCCTTGGTGGGGGTTCGGGACGGCCTCGTCAGACGGTGGCTTTCAAAAAAAAAAACTTGAATTTATGACAGTTCATGAAAGGAAGTGCCACATCACTGATTATTGCGTATTGATCTATCAAGGCCAGGGAGTCAACGGATTCAAAAAAAGTGGCCGGGGAAACTCAATCTTTGAAACAGATTTCTTGGCAGCCCTTCATAAACTATGAATGTTTGAGCCGCAGCCTATTCAATCACTTATCCTCCATGGTTTAATAAATGAAAATACTGTTACTTGTTTTTTATTGTGTTTGGCATTAAATTAAGTGCTTCGCCATAAGTGCAAACACACATGTAACTCATACACACACACAAAGACTAAAGATCTACCCACATAACCTTTCTGGAGTGCTGGGACAAGTGTTGTTAGCGAGCGCCTGTTAAGGCCGGCACGGCACACGAGGCGTTGGTGTGGTAAGAAATCTGCATGGGCCACCTTTGTCTCTCCAGTCCTAATGTTTACACACACCCCCAGATACACATTTAAGGCTGAGTTGACTTATGAGAGGCCCAGGACTGCTTCATATATCATCATATTAGTCCCAAAGTGCCGGGTTTGTAGTGCGGTACATTAGCTTGGCTTATCCAGTGTTCCATTTTACACGGCATTCAGATAACCACGCTCGGACCAATGCTCTCAATATGCTCCTGGCATTATGAGCATCACTGTCTCGTTAACAACATTTAAAGAACAAACATATGATTTATCGACCAGCGAAAGCTTCGTGACATCTCAAGACTCTCTCTCTCTTCTTTTTAACAGGCGGGTTCTGAGATGAGATGTTTTTTGCCAATTGCGTCTGTGTGGGTTTGGTATGTGCGAGAAAAATGGAAAGACTTTCCCATGACGTATACGAGGGAGGGGGGGTGACACTCAGCACTGCCATCGCCTGGACATCTTGCAGCCGCACGCCCTACAACACCTGGCAAGCCCTGGCGGTGGACCCATCTGACGAGATGGGATGCTTTTGGGATGCATTGGCCATTGACATATTTCGATGAACGCATATCAAACATTGCCGTATTTCTTCGCAGCAAATCTGATTTTTCTGATGAAAAAAAACACATTCTGATAATGAGATATTTGCTGAGTTTGATAGTTACACGAGACAACGCCTCCCCTAATAGCATTCACCAGCGTCGCGTTCGCCAGTCCAAACTACGCCAGCGAATCATACAATCTCATTAAACTCTCTCTGTGACCGTACACCCAGATGGAGATTACTAATCCGTCAATTACGGCGCAGCGATTGTGTCTGTCTGGCCCATCCCGCGTGCCCATTTGTCATGTCTCTAGGTCCAATGCCGCAGCACGTGACTGTGCATCGCCTCCCCCCCTCTCTCACTTTCTCCTTCGTTAACCCTCCCTCTGGTATTGCCACTCATAAGTAGGATATATTGTCTCTTGTCATCCAAGAGTAATTGCCAACAGCAAGTAAAATGTGGTTTATACACCAAAGTCTTAATTGTTTATCCGTGTACCATAAACCATTGCAGTTGAATTCAAACAAAAGACTCTATATATTTAACATTCGCACTTTCCTCTGTTTATTTACTTTGGCGAATAAAAATAATTATATTTGAGCATTTCTATCAGGGGACATCATTTTTCAGCACGCTAACTTGAATCGCGCTCCGGACTTTACAGACCAAAGCTTAGTTGGCTTATTTAGACTTTTTTGACCATTACATTCCAAACATAATGTCGATGCCAAGTCAGAAGATGAACCAATTTACGTCCGGAAATCTACATCTAACAGTGCGCCACACTGTGCCAGAGGATGGTCCTGAAAAGATGACATCAAGGAACTACTTCTGATGCCACTTCAACAGGCCTCTATATCCACTAACGCCGCGTACACACAGTGATCTTTGCACGCAACGGCGAATATCCGGCGGAAAGGTGTGCTTGTTCGAAGATGCACAGCGGCGGTCACGTGTGCACGTCAACACGACTTGCAACATGTTGCACATGACACACGTGATTGGACAGAGGTCACTTGTAGACAGACGAATGGCGAAAGATTGAGGGACAGGGGAAAGCAGAGGCACGGAACTTACCTGTTCGATTCTCCTCAAGCAAATGCCGTGGTGAAATGACATCGAATACTTCACGATAATAACGGAGAGTAATTTACAGGTCTTGACAATCCACTGTTGCATGAAGGCATGTTCCAACGTAGTGTAAATCACAGGGTGTGTGTCTTGGTTTGAGTTCACGCTTCAACCACGCTGGTCAGTGCGGGTCGCTGAAGTCACGGAGTGGGGACCAAGACCGCTTTTAGATATTGCCTGCCACTAATGTTAGCCGTGGTCAGGAAAACAAACTCAGGTCTCAGGTCGCCAAGCTCACAGGGCAGTGTGCTAATCACTCTGCCGCCGTTTCCCTCCAGCATCGGCGTGGTGAAGTAAGTTTAAACAACCCCCATGACTGACACAAACTATAAGCTTTGTATATTTTAGCAGGTAATGCCCACTGAGCCATATAGCTATTTTTCAGAAGTGGCCTGGCCACAGATTATATTTATAGCTCAACAAAGTGGCTTATCACGGGGAAATTAAAAGCAGACACATACTCTAAACGCATGTTTCTAAATGTGGAGGGAAAAACCGGAAGACCTGGAGAAAAATCCGGAAGAGCACGGGGAGAGAGAGAGACATGCAAACTCCAAATATACAGGCATCAGATTTGGGATCGAACCCAGGACCTCCAGTATACCAGGTAAGGTAGCTAACATCTCGCCACCATGACACAGCATTGGCAGGGACTTCATCCAGCAGTGGATTGACGAAGGCTTCTAAGCATCCATATACATCGTGGCACAAGCACTTTTCATTTTCTTTTCACAATCCTCTTTGTGAAGTACATTTTTAAAACGAGTTTTTGGTTGCGGACCTAATATATTCCGATAGACACACGCGAATATTGAAGCGCATTATTTTCTCACAACAGCTGTGCAATGTGAAGATTATTTGCTTATATAAATTGTTAAGAACATAACCACAAACATCGCGAGATCGCGAGCCATTGCATTAGCAGCACATGGCCCACAGCTGTGCATTCGCAGGATTCAGACTTGGCTGTGGCACGGCCATCATCGCCATGGTTTCAAGCGGTGCTGATGTTTGCACGACCCTTCTGAACTAAGTGGCCCAACGCGCTAAACAAATTGACAAGGATAACACGTCGTCGTCGTAGTAGCAGGGCTTTCGCGATCAATATTGCTCGTGATAGAGGGTTTCTTTGGGGTTAGAGCGCGTCAATGTGAGTGTGTCGTTAAACCCGCCGCCACCCGACAGCGCCAATTGGCAAGGTTTGTCACGTTAACACAGCATGTCGACGGACGAGGCTGGTTGTATGAAGCCGGCGAAACGTCGTGAGCGAATGGTAAACGTTGTGGGTTTATTATCCAACACGCCGAGTGTGCTGAACTAGTAACTAATTGACACATTTTGTTTTTACGTGACAAGCCCTTACTAAGTGACTTTACCGAAAGAACCAAGAATATGAAGCCCTTACTAATTGGCTTTGTCGGGGTGGTGGCGGGTTTAACGGGCAACACATTTATATTTACTCGATCTAACCGAACAAAAAAAATCTCTCTATTGTGGATCAATTGACAGGAGCGGCAAGATGTAGGGGGACTCGTAGCAGAGATGGGCGGTTGCCCGAATGCTTACAGATGAAATGTGCGCTCAGCGAACACACATACACAGGCACACGGGTGAAGCTGATATGGCAATGCGTGTGACTTGGCGTCGGTTCCCAATTGCTTTACGATGTTAAGTTGGAGGCTGCTTGTGAGCTCTATTTTTACGAAGAACAGCAACAAGGCACGGTGTAACTTTGCTGGAATCCACAGAAGCCAGGAACTGAGTGTCCTAGTTGTCAAGCCAAAAGCCAGACCACTTCTTTGTTTAGTTTATTTTACCAGGTAAAGCCAAATTTGAACGCGTGAACCGTGAATAGGCACACAATGAGAAACTACGAATGTTCTTACTTACTCAGGGAACCTTTGCAGAGCCTCCAGGAGGGTCCTGCATGGGGTGTTTAACCAATTGAGTACTCTTCTGTCGTGCAGAAAAACAAATTAGGAGCAGAACTTATCTGATCTTGTCTACCTGCGTATTATTTGACTTGACTATGATAATTTAGAAGTGGGTATTCATTGGGGGAGGTGGGGGGGGGTCAGCTCTGTCCAGTCACCCTGCCGCTCCAGGGGCTGCTCTGATGGACAGGTCGCATCTCTGCACGAGTCACCGACCCTACAACAACGAGGACCTAACAACAACAACGACAACAACCCCCACAACAACAACAACGACGACGACCGCCCCCCGAAGCCACCGCCACCACGATCCCTCACCTCCCACGCGTGGTCCCCGTCCTTGGAGCGCGGGCTGCCACCCTCGCCGGCTGTGTAGGGCCCGTACTTGTCGCCGGCGCGCAGGCCGCTCCGCGCCCACACGCCGAGGCCCACGCCGGGGGGCGAGCGCGCCTCGCGTAGCTCCAGCTCGCCGGGCAGCGACACGTCGTCGGGAACGTAGACGGACGAGCCGTACGCCGGTGGCCCCGCGTCGCCGCACTCGTACGGGCCTGCGGGAGCGGGCGGGCAGGCGACGTGCGCACGGTGTCACGCGGCGCGCCGATGCTTGCGGAGGAAGCAGCGGCCGGAGTTATCGGCACGCGGCTCGGTGAGCTTGGCGACCTGAGTTTCAGAATCGGAATGTTTATTTCGACCGGCAGAATCCGATTGAGCTGAGAAACGGTTTTCTGGCTTAAAGAAAAAATAAAATTGTAATGCCCGGACCGTGTCGCCTTGTTGTTTGTTGTTGTTGTGAGCGTTTAGGAGATTGTCCTGGTAGAAATCTGGGAGTCCTTACAGCGGGGCGATTAAAAGTCTCTGCGTTTTGTCAGTTGCTTAGGAATACAGCGCCCGAGATTATGTGTTTACAATCACGTGCCGTTCTCCACCTCTTCCAGCCTCGTGGGATATTCATCTTCCCATGACACGTCCTGATTATTTTGCGTGTGTATGCATGTCGGACTGTTTCTCGTGTCATCATCAATCATCCATGTTCAATCTACTGCTGCACGAAGGCCTGCCCCAGGTCGCCACTATCTATCGTGGACCTACAACAAGTCACCCAGTATCCGCTGGGTGGGTTCCTTTCCACGGACACTAATGTCTCCTTCATCTCACGTACACTGTCTTAGTTCTAAAGCACAGTGAAGCAGATCCCCCCACGGTGTTTAAAGCAATGTGCGCTCTATATTTCCATATTTGTCCAGAAGCGTGGACAAATATGGAGCGGTGAAAGTGTCATTCTCTGCGCATGTCCACACACCTTGACCCTTTCGCATAGAACCATCTGTGCCTCGGTGAGCGTCAGCAAGTCGGAAAAGCAACATTGTGCCTTTTCCCAAACGTGGGAAGTCAACAGTGGAGCCACGGTGGATTAAAGGTGGAGAGTGGAGAGGGGGGTCATGAGGACAATCCCCCCCCCCCTACCCAGAGACAATACATTGAATGCTTTAGTATTATTATTATTAATGTTGAACTTCTTTCGCACCACACGTAGCCAAACGTGCCAATCGGATGATAAACTAAAACACAGAAAAAGGTAGATTTTTTAGGATGCCCCCACCAACCAACCCCTTCCCCTCCTTGGGAAGTTTTGTAGATCAGCCTGTGCTGCGGAGACACTGGCTCCCATCACGACCGTCCCGCTTGAGAGCTTTTGCCAATTCTCTGCCGATTATTTGTGTGCGCGCGCGCGCGTGTGGGAGGAAACCAGAGCACCAGGAGGAGGAGGATACAAAAAATGCACGCATGCATACGTACAGGGGAATACAGTAACATATATATAATAATAATAACAACGAAAATCTATACAAAGATTAATCTTCTTGGTTCTTTCGGTAAAGTCACGTAGAAGGGAAAAAATATTTCTACGTGACTTTACCGAAAGAACCAAGAAGATGAATCCCTGCAGTCACGAAAGCTTTAAATCGAAATCTATACAAAGATTTGAGCACCCAATTTTCCACGCCTCCATATACTTGGCCACTTTATAACTCCGCAGATTTGGTATTACATTAAATTAATTCAACTTTAAATGAGTACCTCGGGAGGTAATTGCAGTTACGACTGTGCGGTGTTGAACCACACCCGCGCCACGGCCTCATTCGCGATGATTGATGTTCTGGCCTAAATAGTTGCTCGCTAATAAGCGCTTGCCCCCGAGCGTTGCAGACGGCTGAATGGGTATTTTGGGTGATTATCCTGTTGATTGGCTTTTAAATAAAAATCGAGCCCGCGTCTTTGCACAAGATCCACAGGTGGGTGCTCTCGATTGCAGAGGCCTGAAGCCTTGTCAAGGATTGAGGCGTAATATTTAGATGGACGTTAACGCTTTCTCATTTTCGCCACACACTTGGTCGATGGATCAGGCGTTGGGGGGCTTGAAAAATTATCCGATGATGCTGGATGTAATTACCAGCGAAACGTCGTACTCAAATTTTAAAATGCTGTTGATTCTGTCTTCAACACACCGATGGGCTAAAGAAGTGAATTATTTTGTCCTTTGGAAAACTGTTTGGCCGTGTCGGGTGGTGGAGGGTTACGACACATTTATAAATAACGCGATCTGACCCAAAAACCTATATTATGAATAATATTGGTCGCGAAAGCCTACGTGTTAAACTTTCAAATCTTTATTGAAAACTAATTTCTGTAGGACTGCTTTTTGTGTTCAGTTTGTTGTCCTTCCCCCGCACCTCCGATTAACTACGTATGGTGCGAAAGAAGTTCAACATACATACAACAATTAAAGAAAAAATCCTCAACCCCACTCTTTCCCGTCCCCCTTCTTCCATTTTATTTTAGTTATTTTCTCCATTACCCCCCCTCACCCCCATATAAACGTTTACTTCTCTGCTAGAGGGACCCTACCTGGATAATGCAGTGAGCGCAATACACCCATCTTCACCAAGCTCTGCCGTGTCTATCTCAGGCATTTATGCCCCCCTTCTTGTTCTGAGATCAGTGCCATGTACCGTGTGCCACATTGAGTTGAAATAAATAAAAATAAATCTGGTGCCATCTTGCGTTCCCACCCTTAGCTTTTAAAGGTCTCCGGTTTGGCTCAAACTTAGTGGCCTTTCATTATTATCATCATTTTCACAAGACTGACCACCACCCCCCACCCCAGCCAAAATCCCCACTGCCCACTCATTCCAAAACACCCCCCCACCTCCCCCCACCTCACTCTGTCTCACCCGTACGACCACGCATAGCCCCACGGCCGCCAACCGCCACCACCACCTCACCGAGGCCGATAGCAACATGAAACATGTATGACTTCTGAATTTCTTTGCCGAACTTATGGAATTGAAAACACCCGACCCCTGAAGGATGACTGGTCCGTGCCATAGCTCATCACCGAAAAGGGCAAACCAAAAAAATATTTACAAACGAAGATAAAACTAAATAATTAAAGTTATGGATTCATTTTGTTTCCCACCACCCGACCCTAACGGTGTATAGTATTGCGACCTCTCTCTTTCATGTGTGGTCTGCAGCTAATTAACGAACACAATCAAGTTAATTTCGCTAAATAAAAATTGGTGAAATTCAAAAAGAGTTTTTTTTTTCATATCTCGCTATTTTGAACAATAATGCCAACATAATTGCCCGGTAAAGCCTCACTGAGTCTCGACTTCTTTCTAATGAGGGCCCTGCTGCAATTGGGATGTTGGACCCATTGCAATAATGAGAGCTTTGGCTTCTTGTGATAGGAAACCAGAGGACCCGGAGAAAACCCTCCACACGTTGGGAGGGGATAACGCCCTTACCTCCACACAGATTAATTGCATCAACTGGTGGCACTTGCCATTCTCGACCTGCGCCAGTATACAGGAGGTCGTGGGTCCGATTCCGACTCTGACGCCTGAGTTTGCATGTTCTCTCCATGGTCACGTGGACATTTTGTCCAGACCCTCCGGTTTTCCCCTCCAAATTTAGAAACACGCGTTTAGAGTATTTGACTGGAAGTATTTGGCTGCTATACATTTCCACATGATAAGCCACTTTGTTCAGTGGTACCTTACCTAGTGAAATAGAAAATAGTTGAATAATTTTATCTCCTCGTCACCTCGCAGCACAAGCCTACAACACCTGGCATCACCAGGCAGTATCTCAACCAAGCCATCGGCCAGAATCAACCCTGCTGAAAAAATAAATGCTACATTTTGCCAATGTTAAATTGTTGCCGCTCCGCACGTAATTTTAAGCGGTGAAAATTATCTACATTTGCACAAAGTTACTTTAATTCATCTCGTTCTCAATATTGTAAATGTCTTCAAAAAAGCAAAAAAAACTAATTTTACCTCTCTGGCCTCTCGATGTTGTATGAAAATTGCCCAAAATGTTGCCTAAATAGAAACGTTATCATATTAAGTCAGTTTTATGGCAAATGCATTGAGATTATGTTTGTTTCAAGTTATTATTTGATTGCAATACATTTCCAGTTTTTTTACACGTCTTTCACTAAAATATTTAAAAGAGCATATTATCAGTATACATTGAGCTACGTCTAAATAGAAGTGGATATTTCACGAATATCACCATGTTGTAATTCATCTGGCCGGATATTTTATTTTTTTACGTATGCAACCAACGCACCACTTGCATTAATTTGAGCAAAGATTATGACGGCCTTACTTGCCGCAAAGGCCAATGAAGTCACGAGAAAATTTTCCCAGTTTCGATCGTCCACTTGCCATTCAACGAAGCAACGACCATAGGCCACGTGCAGTTCCCGTCAAACCACGTTGACGTAAATCTCCGCTTGTAGAAAATAACGCCGTGCGCAAAATCTCCGAGACCCGAATTACTCCAGGAAGTTTGTGCCGTAACCAACCATCGTCAGGGCAGGTGAAAAACAGTTCCTTTCTGAAGTCGTCGTGGGCCGGGGAGCAGGTTGCAATGAGTGGGCGCAAATGTCAACCGTGACCTTATGCACGGCCGGGATGAAACGGCTACCCACTCGGGCATTTAATTAATTGGAAACATACTATCACCGTCTCCTTCACTCTGACAAACACAGCAAAAAGGTGGCGGATGATGTAAGGCTGGCAGGAGGCTGCTGCCCACCTGCTCGGGGATTGTATGATTCATGCACATCCGTGGTCGGCATTTATTTATTTAAAAAAAATTCGTCCGCCGAGCGGCTTACGGGAAGCCCCCTCGCACGTGCGTCGCGGGTCGAGGTGGTGAGGATGCGGCGGGCGGTTTAAGAAAGTTTTAAGTTCGCTGCACGAAGGCGAGTGCCACGTGGCACCGCAGCAGCAATGGCGGATTGATGGCTGAATTATATTGTATAGAGGTGTGTGCATAAATTGAAAAAAAAATCAACACATTTGTCAATAACAGTGTAACTTTATAAGTAAAAATATATAACAGGTGGCGTTTTGGGAAATTTTCTTTCTTCATAGCACGCAAGAAGAAGAGGACCGATTGATGGAAACTTGTTATGTATACACTTTCCTTTTAAGGCCACAGCATTGTTGACAAATGTGCTGAGTTCTTTGTCAATTGTTCTTGTGCACCACTGCCAACACACCAGCATCACCGAATAATGTACACATAGAAATAAAAAAAGGAATTTAGTGAACACATCGATCCATTTTATATTTAATTGAACAATTGGGCATTCGTCTGCCTGTAGGGGTGTGATATTTCACATATGGGTTTTCCCAAGCAAGTAATTCCTTTAAAATATTGCACATTTTGACCGCGTAGCTGATTAAGAAGAATAAGACGATGGGGATAATGATGACTACATCACGACCAACGGCCAAATGAACAAACCCCGGGCCCCACCCTCTTCCCCGCCGCCAGCCACGCGCGTCCACCCCGCACCGCCACGCTGTCTTACGGCCAAACTCCTGGCTGTCGTCGGCCGAGTGAAGCATGGACGGCGAGCTGGGGAGCGACGGCGGTGCGTGCTTGAGGGCCGGGTGCGCGCCGGCGCTCAGCGCGCTGCTGCTGAGCAGGCAGTTGGCTGCGGCGGCGGCTGCTGCAGCGGCGGCGGCGTCGTCGTCGTCGTCACGTTCGTCGCCGTCCGACGGGATCGTCCCGACGGCTCCCAGCGCTGTCTCCCCGACAGCCGCCAGGCCGGGCTGCCCGTCGTACATGTCCTCAACCACCTCGTCATCCTCCTCCTCCTCCTCGTCTGCAGACACAGTGCACAGCGAGCAGCGGCGACGGGGATGAGTTTTTGGGACGCCGGACGAGGCACGCAGACGGGTTAAGGGGTCGGAGGGCGAGGTGGGTGGCTGGAGGGTGGGGAGGTTGGGTGTTGAGGCCACGTCAGTTCTAATCATGGGGCAGGTTTCTTGAATCCCACTTCCCCTATCGCCTTTGTTCCCCCCCCCCCCGCCACTCCCAGCAGTATAATTGGGATCGCCGCAGCTAATGGATCAACAGGTCATCTGCGGTGGGGTAAAGTGTGAGCACTCCCACCTATTTTCAAAATGTGTGGTCAAAGTGAAAGAGTAGGCCAAATGCCCTCTAGAGGACCTCTGTAGAGCACCCCCTCCTCCCCCCACTAGCAGGAATGTGAGCGAAAAATGCAGTGCTGCACCTTTACTTTCTCCATCGTCGTCTTTACGATTATGGCAAATGACAACCCCGGCCATGGACACGTGCTTTCATCTAATACACAACGTATATTTACACACGGTGTGTACACAAACAGCCAGTGTAAAGTTTCCATCTCGTCCATAATTGATCAATGTGCCCTAATGACCCGTAATTTAGTCTTCATTAGGCGGGGTGTAGTGTCGCACGCTTGTAATCAATCGCATTGGTTGCAAAAGGTTGGTGGGTCACATGGATCCGTGAAACCTACAATCCCACTCGACCGTGAAAGGGCCAGGAGCTAGCAGCACCATTAAATAGATTCTTAAATCAAGTGCCTCGCCAGGAGATCCCACCGATGACCTCTGGATTGCACATCCAGTGTGAAAACTATTACACATGCGGCATCATCCGAGAGAAGACAACGACCAACAAAGATGATGATGACGATGATGATGGACGGATGACTGAAATGTGCCCGAACCAGATAGCGGTTGGCGCTATGCTGCGCTCCGAACCCGGCGACCCGAGTTCAATTCCCGCTCACGGCCAACACCAGTGATGATTATTATCTGAACCGGTTTTGGGCCTCCCCTAGGTCGACTCAGCCTCAAATGAGTACCTGGTGCGGTGAATTTTTTTTCAAGATAACTGCAGAGCAACTAGTGCCAGATCGCCACCTAGCAGCCTTCTAGCTCGTCTGTGGTCCCTCGGCGATTGTGCGATTTACAATTTCAATGAACGGTTCTGAGATGAGTGCAAGGAATTGATTCCGATGGCTCTCCCAGAATATCGCAAAAACGTATTCCGTGGTGTAAGCCTCGCAAAAAAATGACGTTACTAAAAAAAAAACACTGATCTGGTCCACAGGACTTGGGAGTGAGGAAGGGCCACTGCACGTGATTGATCAATACTGGGCAAGGCGGCACAAGATAAGTTCCCAACTGACATTCTCCGTTCCGCAGACCGCAGACAAGGCGATGGGATGAATGGACTCTGTGCGACAGCGTGTGACGAGGCTGTACCAAAGTCCACCCGCTCAACACCGGATCGTGTGGAGAGGGAAGGTGTATTGGGGATCGGCGGTCTGATCGATGGCTTTATTTTCACCGGTTGTATTTATTTAGAGGTGAGAGGCCGTTCAGATACGTTATCTGTTTTGCAAGCGGCAGCTACAGCGGGAAAGGGAGGGGTCATTACCATCCGAGGCGTTAACGACAAATCTATTCACCGGTCACATTCCATTCTTACGCTCACGATGCACGCGCGTGAGAATCGAGCGTCGTTGATCCGTGTGCAGTGGATACGCACGGTCGCCGAAAGCCACTTGATATGCTGCCGTGCACCGTGATTTTCATATACATCGATTGGAAAATAGAATTGTGGCATGCTGCGGATCATCTCCTTAATGGTAGACTATGCAGCCACCTACTTAAAGGAGGTTAGATAGCCGAGCAACGGACCCTTCTTAAGAACGGGGCGGATAGAAGATGTGAATGTGTTGGAATTGAACTCATCTCACACTCTGGAGCCCCCTGAGAAAACTTGCAAACGTTCAAACGCAATAAACAAGGCAGTGAGTTGTTTTTTTTGGAGGGGGGGTGGTGCAAGAGGAGAGACATTTGCAGGCGAAATAGACAGGAAATGGCACAACTCATTTCTCATTTATGAACCCTTGCTTAGAACTTCCCACGGTCCCAGTAGTGCAGAGCGTAAACTGCGAATCGGTCGATCACTCCGCCGCCCCCCCCCCACCCCCCGTCTCTCTCCACTCTCAACCAAGGCGCATCGCCCAAATCGCCAGCGACAAGCCAGCGTGAATGATACGTGCCGCGACTGGGTTTTTAAAAAGTTTTATCGTCGTTCCTTAATGATTGTTTTTTCGTCCAGGCTCAATGGCCCATAAAACGCGAGGAGACCCGAGCGGGTTTCAAGCTATAGTTTGAAAAATAATCAAGCGAACAAACAGACAGACAAACAAACAAAACGCACGCATGCACGCGCGCGGGTGCGTGCGCACAAATACCAACGGTGCCCAAATGCGCACACACGAATAAAGATGCCCACGAAAGGGATTGGCATCGAGAAATTGGATCTAAAAAAAAATGTATACCTGTTGGCTACTTAATTTTACAGTGAAGTTACATCATGGGACCTCCTTTGCCAGTACCAAAATATGAGAATAGGTGAGAATAGGTTATGCCCCTTTTTCTAGCAACAAAATAGCTGTGTTAATATGTTTAAACACCAAACTCAAACCTTTTACAAGGAATCATGTCTGCATTAACCACAATACTTGTGGTCAGAATGCAAACAAAAAACACTCTGAAACTATACGCATTGTCCTTGAAACTGATTGGTCCACACTAGAGACAGCTTTCTTTTGAGCCTAGTCTCAAAACGGTGTTAGACCAGAGGCTCAAAAGAAAGCTGTCTCTGGTGTGGACCAATTAGTTTCAAAGACAATGCATATATTCTCAGTGTGTTTTGTTTGCATTCTGACCACAAGTATTGTAGTTAATGCAGACATGCTTCCTTGTAAAAGGTTTCAGTTTGGTGTTTTAACATCTTAACACAGCTGTTTTGTTGCCAGAAAAAAGGGGGAAAACCTATTCCCACCTACAATGAAGTTATTATCATAATTGGGGTAAAATGCAGTGTATCGATTTGCTAATGGAAGGCAGCGGGGAGTGGGGGGGATGGTGATACGAGTTCACGGCGTTTCATCATATTACATTATACGTGGAGATTTTCTGATAGAGCACAGCAATTACTTTATGCCTTTTAGTGTTTAATATCCATTCATGCATACGTGTTAATCGCACCATTCTTCCATTCTCTCTCTCTCTCTCTCTGTCATAATTAATTAATTAGCTACATTGTAAGAATGTACATGTACAGCTTTGTTGTCAATCCACTGCTGGATAGTTTTACGTTTAGCAGTCTTGGAAATTCCACATTACGATGGCAGGGACCAGTCTCTTCCAGGCGGTGCTCAATTAATCAACCGCATAGAAACAATAATGTCGATGACCGTGGCGATATTGGTGATATAATACCAGACCTGGAGCCGATTACAATTGCAATCGTGCAATTCATAATTAACCAAAATTTATTTTTGGCTGTAGTAATTGCAAATATAATTGAGTGCGGGTCTGGACAATAAAGTAGAGTACAATTTATGAAGAGGCACACACAGAGATAATCTAAACGCAGCTGTTTCTCAACACACTGTGACGCCGTGTACAAACGAGCGGGAGACGCATTGGCAGGGAAACCAATGTAAGCGAGACGCATAAGAATTCTGTCGACAGAAGAGGACATGGACAGGGTAATGGGGGAAGGCCTTGATCCTAGTGGAGTTGCACTTGTGGCAAGGGAGCTGGGAGCACAAGCGGCCTAAGGGGATGACGATGACCGCGATGATGTCAACGATGGGCGGTCGTGAGTCAACCCTAATCTGGATTTGAACTCACGCAAACTGAGACCACAAGCCCGGGCTCTCTTGTGCCGAGTGAGTAATACGTTAATTGATAATAATTGTAGATTATTCAGAGCCGAGCCAGGAACATAGCTTATCTAATTTCGCTGTCTAGCCTATCGATCGCTTCTGGGTATGAATCAAGTTTCATATTGTTAAATCGATTGAGAGATATTGCAACGGTTACGTTTTTAGTCGCGATGTAAAAAGCCGGAATGACTCTGCGCGCGAGCGGGCGCGATTGCTTTGCCTTCAAACAAATGCGTCGCTCTTACTGTATCATTCAGCACAGCTTTTCTGTTAAAGGAACCAGCGTTGTAATTACCTATTGATTAGAGTCGTGTCGTATGAATGGAGACGGTATGTCAAACCCTTAGCGGAACCGGCTCGCCATTGCCACAGTCGCCTTTGACACGGGGATTTTGAAATACGCATTGTCGATGGTCGGATAAATTATGAAACACTGGAACAGAGTTGATGATTTATGCTCACAATACGCCACACGGCATCTACTTTCCAGGGGTGATGACAACGCAACTCACCGCGCAGTGGGACAACAACAACAATAATACAACGTCTTCTTGGTTCTTTCGGTAAAGTTACATAGAATGCAAATAATAAAATAATAAAAATAACACGTAATAAAATACTTATTTTTTTAAATATTTTTTTATAATTATTTTATTATGTTTTATTTGAGTTTTCCCGTTTTCTCCAACGTGCCAGTAACCCCTCCTTGGTGCGATTGGCCAAACATCTCAAGGGCAGGGCCCTCCTGAACAAGCGTCTTGAGACTCCGTGAGACTTTTCTGTACAATCAAAAGCCATTATTATTATTCGCACTCCTCTTAAACGTTGCCATTGTAGGTGACGGCGTTTTGTTTAAACACACACTCAGACGTGATTGCTTATACATTATTCCACAGGTATGTATTTTCGTGACTTTTTTAAAAGAATCGTCCTGCCTTGCAGTGGTTCACGAACAGAGAACCAATTCGCTTGTCAACTTTCTTACAATGTCCCCAACAAGTTTTTTTCTCAAGGCCCCGGAGTGTGAAGTGCCATCTCCAACGATAAGTCAGTCAATCACTCTGCCCCCCCCCCCCCCGTCT